AGGTTCTCATTCTTGCATGAATTTGGGGAAGCCAGAGAGTGTTTTCTCTGCCTGCATCAGACTGGAATTGTAGGTTTATATTTGCTCCTGTCTTCTCTTGTAAGTGGCTGCCAGCAGAGCTGACAGCGGGCTGAGTCTGGCAGCCATGAGGAGTTGGAAGCACGGCCAGTGAACACCATGCCCGCTTCGTTTTATGTGGCTGCAGCTGTGACTATTGCATGTGTGGATTTTTTAAAATGAGAGAATAGAGAACATGAAAAAGTTATTTCTTTTCTAAAAGGTAAATCTTGTACTATTTACTGACTCCTTTTGCTTTTTCTCAGTTTACTGATTTATTTATTGAAATAACAGAATTTAGACATTTTAGGGCCATTTTTAGTTTTTAAGATTTCAGCTCACTTGGGCCCATATCTTAACTGCTCCTGACCACTTCAAGTCATCCTCTATCTATTTTTGTTTCGATTATCTAAAAGACTGTCATGTTTCATGACAGTTGGCTGTTTATAATTTTGTGACAGTTTGTAAACTGAGGTATTCCTGAAGGTACCCTCTGAAGGCTAGGTGTCTTTACTCATATGGTGATCATATTATTCATAATAATTTACTCATAGTAAGAGTGTGGATAAACTACTATTGTTTTTGTTCAAATGTACACGTTCAGGTAGTTCTGTTAAACATTTGTGGTAGCCAGGTGTGGTGGCTTATGCTGTAATCTCAGAACTTTGGGAGATCAAAGCAGGATTGATTGAGCCCAGGAGTTTGAGACCAGCCTTGGCAACATATCAAGACCTTGTCTCTACAAAAAAAATTTAAAAATTAACCAGGCATGGTGTTGTGTGTGCGCCTGTAGCCCCAGCTACTTGGGAGATTGAGGTGGGAGGATAACTTGAATCCAGGAATTTGAAGCTGCCATGAGCTGTGGTCATGCCACTGCACTCCAGCCTGGGCAATGGAGTGAGACTCTACCCGCCAAAAATGGTGCTTTGCATCATCACATGCAGATTATATTGTTTACATATATTGCCTCTGTTTCCTCCTCTTTAAGTAAAAATAGTAATAGTACCTCCTACGGGTTTGTTTTGAGGATTTCAGTAAGTGTATGTGATTATACATAATACTGTATTAATTAATTACACACTTATATTCTAGCCTCTTTGCTAAGTGCCTTACTTGTGAATCTCATTTAATTTTCCCCCAAGCCCAGTGAACTAGGTGCTGTTGTTCTTCCCATCTCACAGTGGAGGAAACTTAGATGCTGAAGAAGTTACTTGCTGAGGGTCCAAGAGCTGATAGATGGCAACAGGATTTGACTTTAGTCAGTCTGAGCCCAAATCCTTATGCTCGGTCTTGCAATTTGGTGTATGTTAAACCCAGTGTGTTCATAGCACAGAATTCCCCTTTACATCTACTGGTTGGACAGACTGCTTAGCCTGCCATGCTATGGGGACAAGCTGGTTAAACCTGCTAAAGAGAGTACCTTTAAAGACCCTTGGTAGCATCTAGGGTGGAAAAGGCATATTCCTGTCTATATCCAGGTGAACTCAGCTCTTCTGTGTCTCCCTAGTTTGTCATGTTGCACTTCTTGTTGACTGGCTGTGCTGCTGCAGTGGGTCATGTCAGATGGTCAGGTCTACTTTGGTTATAAGCCACATGAGAAAGTACTGCTTATGTAACAGATGAATCTCTTAACCTGAGCCACATATGCATGTGGTTTTATAACCATGGTGTTTTCTGTCTTTAATATGTGTATATGATTCTACTGGGGCAGTTTATCTTCACAATGATACAAATACTTGTAGGCAATAATGATTTTTCCTCACCACTTTTAGTCATCCTTTAGCCAAACTGAATAAAATGTCTGGCCCTTTTCATCTTTCTTTATGAAGCGGAAGGCACTGGAATGCAATCATTTCTGTAGTGGCTTATGTGGTTTCCTAGGTGCTGAGTTCTGTGGTGACATGATGCTGGTATATTTTAGGAGGGAGGGAGGAGGAGGAGGAAGCTAAAACCCTGCCAGTGTAGAATGATGTGGTGGGAAATTTAACAGCCACAAAGATTTATTGACTAAGTCTAAGGAAATAACCATCATCTGCCAATGAAGTTTAATATGTGATATACCTATATGTAAAATATTTAATGGCCTTGTGCCAGACTTCTAAAGCTGATATCTTCTGGTTTTTCTTCTTCCTTCCTTCCTTCCTTCCTTCCTTCCTTCCTTCCTTCCTTCCTTCCTTCCTTCCTTCGTTGGAGTCTTGGCACACTCACAGCCACTTGAGCATCGACCTGCTAGGCTCCAGTGAGCTTTCCACCTCAGCCTTCCAAGTAGCCAGAACTATAGGTGTGCGCTATCACGCCCGACTAATTTTTTGTTTATTGTAGAGATGAGGTCTCACCAAGTTGCCTGGCCTGGTCTCGAACCTGCGGGCTTAGGGAATCCACTCGCCTCAGTCTCCTGAAGTGCTGGAATTACAGGCTGAGCCACCAAGCCTGGCCTTATTTTTCTTTCTGTAAAATTATTTTTGAGAAATTGCAAAATGAAGTATTTTTAAGTGACTGTGAAAGTTTGTGTGATTCTTTCAAGTTTCTTGTTATCCACACATTTGCTAAATACAAATATCCTTTGCTATGCAGATCTCTGGTTCTGGGGTCACATAGTAAGAGTTTGGATACTGAGGAATATCTCATCCAAAACTATTTGATTGTTAAATTTCAGAGTGAGTAGCAAGAATTCAGATATGTGCCTCAGGAAAATGTATGTGTATATATATATATATATATATATATACATTTTTCAGTTTCTAAGTTCTGAGAGTTTCTCAGTTTCAGTGTTATTGACATTTGAAACTAGATAACTTTTTCTGGGGCTTGGGGGACTGTCCAGTCCTATCATAGGGTATATAGCAGCATCCTTACTTCACCTGCAAGATAACAGTAGTGGTATGTTCCCCCTCCCCTTGTAGTTATAGAAACCAATGCCTCCAGTGTTGTCAGATTATTCTGAGGTGGGGATGAGGGGGGAAAGTTGCCACCAGTTGAGAACCACTGTTGTACACCATTGCACTTAGCAAAATTGTAAATAGCATGGAACTCTGAAGACTATTATAGTTACTTAAGAATACTTCATCATTTGCATGGAGATAATTTTTTTTAAGATGTATGATGACCACTTATGCACATGTAGATAATTTTTAAGGAAGAAAATTACTAATAAAACAAAAAGAGATTATCTTTAGAAGTTAACCACAAGGCTGGGTGCGGTCGCTCATGCTTATAATCCCAGCACTTTGGGAGGCCGAGGTGAGAGGATTTCCTGAGCCTACGGGTTCCAGACCAGCCTGGGCAATTTGACGAGACCTCATCTCTACGATGATTTTTTAAAAAATTAGCTGGGCGTGGTGGTGCTACTTGGAAGACAGAGGTGGAAGGATCTCCAGAGCCCAGAAGGTTGAGGGTACGGTGGCCGTGAGCATGCCACTGCACTCCAGCCTGGGCGACAGAGTGAGACTCCAACTAAAAAAAAAAGTTAAGCACCAAAAGGACATTACATTTTTATATCAAAAGAGTATCACTTATTAAACCTTGTGTTTGGATGATAGCTATTTCTTTCGACTTGGCCGTATACTGCCTCTTGCATTTGCTGTTCTCTGAAAATTACCAGCAGTGCTTCATTGATCTTATTTATAGGTTCTCATACTACCCTGCAGTGCAGTTTCAGGTAACCAGCTAGTGCTTTCTTATTGATCACAAGTGAATTTCAGCCAGTCCTTCCTTTTGTTACTTTGAAGAGTTAACATTTTAAACAAGGCGAGACTTTGTCAGAGGATGTGCTTTCAGGTTCACAAGGATGCTAGCTAGCATGGACCTCTGCTAGTTTTGTAATGGAGACTGGAAAATATACCACACCTAAAACCAGGCATTGTGTTCTGTGTTACCCTTTTCTCTTTGTCTTTCCTCAGATATTCTCTATTATTCTTGCATAGACAGTGGTAGATAAATGTTGTCTTTTATGTGTTGCTGCTCTGTTCCTTTCCTTTGAGCTTTTTAGTTTGAAGGCATTTATCTGTATTACTGTTTTATTCCATTTTCAGCACTTTGTGAAATTCAGAGTTTCAGTTTTACACGTACTGAAAACGTTCTTTTAGTTTGAAAGTGAGTAGAAAGTGAAGCTATTGACTTTGGTAATTTTTATTGTTACTCACAATGCTAGGGTCTGTCATAGTTATATGAATGTATGATTAGAATGGTTAAATGGCTACACCTACCCCACAACCTTGGTGTATTACTAAGTCTTTCAGATCTATAAGTGCCTGACATTTCTTCTGTTAAACATACTTGGTGTGACCTTTCTGAAATATAAATGTTTACCTTATTTTATATCTGAAAAGTATATTACTAAATTTGTAATATAGACTTTATTCAGTGAATAGCTTTTTTCCTGATTGGTATAACTATTGGTACTTCTATATTGTTGCTGTCCCTCCCCCCAATTAAGTAATCAGTGAATGTGAATCAGATGTAGCAATTTTACCAAAAATTTGCTTTTTGTCCAAGTATGATCTTTTAAGTGTGGCTATTATATCTTTAGCCAGAAATAGTTATAAATAAAAACTAATTTTTGTTATACCGTGTTGCTATTTTGGAGATAGTTATGTTGAAATTTTTACTGACTCTTTTCTAGAACTATTTTAATGTATCTTAGGAACTAGTAGAGAAATTTCCCCTTAAGTTATGCCAGAAGAGGAACAAGTAGTTTTGATAATGAAATGAGACCTTAAAGAAATATTTCTAGGGCAGCTATAAAATTCAAATAAATGAATTGAGACTGCAGGGAAAGGGAATTGTTCTTCTTCCCTGAGTATATGTTTTGGGTAACGGTGGAAACAGAAATCTGAGAGACCTTTCTAATTTGCCTGTTTTTTCTTGTACATGATCTAGAACTATCTATTTTAATCTGTTTTGTATCCAAAATAATGGAAATATGATTTTTGTTTTCATGTTAGGAGATGGAATAAATTGAGACTGCAGGACAAAGAGAAGCGCCTGAAGCTGGAAGATGATTCTGAGGAAAGCGATGCCGAATTTGATGAAGGTTTTAAAGTGCCGGGTTTTCTGTTCAGAAAGCTTTTTAAGTATGTACCTTGTGTTCTGCTCTTTATATTTGTCATCAAGCTATTATGTACAAATTAACATTTTAGGAATTACACAGTAGTTACCTGTGGGCCCTTAAGGTACTTGCAGCAATTTATGGCAAAAACTAGACACTGTCAAATGAAATTTTAGCCACATGCTGTTCATCAAAATTAGATGGTAATAAATTGACTAAAGTGCGCATTGGGTATGTTTATAAACTGATGAATCTATGTGGACCTGTCTCAGCAAACTAAAAGCAACACATTTAAAAGCTATCTATGTTGAATTTTTTTGTCCTTACTGATTTTAAGAACCAAACCTCTAATTTCTTAAATCCAATTAATTTAATAAGAAGTGTTGCATATTAAAATCAATTTGGGGGAGGTTCTTTTACTTCTATGTGGAAATTAAAAACTATTGAGATTGTTTTCTGAGTGCCTTATATTGTGCCTGAGGGTATAATACTTTTGAGCTGACCAAACGCGCATCTAAATATTTTATGGAGATGTTTTTCTTATGTCAGAAGAGAAGATATAGGCAACACCTTGAGGATTAAGTTGCTATTTGAAGCTGACTAAGTTTCATATGTAAGTGGCCGAGTGTTGCAGATGACCGGATGCTGCCTGCTTATAGTCTATAAGGGCTGGCCAGTCTCCCGTGATGAATGTAAACACTGAGAAACATTTTCAATCTCATTACTCCTGGGATTTACTTAACAAGATGCTTTAGGCAGGCTTCTTAGATGCATATAGGAAGTTAAACCATTAAATAGCTTCTTTCTATCTCTTTTGTATCATCAATTTGTAGTTGGAAGCAGGATGCAAAGTTATTTCTTTGAGATGATTAAGTTTAATCATCTATATGGATTCAGCTGTCAGCCATGCCCTAAACTTGTGGAAGAAGTCTACTTAAAAACGGCATGCTCAGGCCAAGCGTGGTGGCTCATGCCTATAATCCCAGCACTTTGGGAGGCCAAGGTGAGAAGATTGCCTGAGCCCATGGGTTTGAGACCAGCCTGGGCAACTTAGTGAGACCTCATTTCTACAATAAATCAAAAAATTAGCCAAGTAAGGTGGCATGTGCCTGTAGTTCCAGTTTTTTGGAAGGCTGAGGCAGGAGGATCACTTAAGCCTAGCAGGTCGAGGCTGTAGTGACCATGAGCATGCCACTGCACTCTATCCTGGGTGACAGAGTGAGACTCCAACTCAAAAAAAAAGGATATGGGACTCTTACTGACATACTAACAAGTAACTCTATAGTAGTTAATATTAATACCTGTTTGTTTTTAATTAGTCTTAATCGCACATTCTTGGAAGGTATGTTGTTTTCATCTCTACAAAAAGAGTATTTTAAATATTTTATAATGGTCATAAAATTTCCGTTCCTCTTTTTCTGTTGTATGAAAAAAGGGGATTGATATAGTCTACATTTTTCTCTTATGATTAAGTTTTAGCTAGGCTAACTTAATTTTTTTTATTTTTTTTTTTGAGTTGGAGTCTCATTCTGTCGCCCAGACTGGAGTGCAGTGGCCACTCCTGGCCACCACAGCCTCGACCTGCTGGGCTCCAGCGATCCTTCCACCTCAGCCTTCTGAGTAGCTAGAATTACAGGCGCGCGCTACCACGCCCGGCTAATTTTTATTTTAAACTGTAGATACTGCACTCTGTTGAGCTGAATTAACAAAGTATATAGTCGTACACAAGGGAGTCAGAAGGTACAAATAGCTATTTAAGTGCTATTTTCTGCAAGAAAATATTTAACTTTTAAATTTCTATTTTGAAAGTTTGCCCAGCAAATGTATTTGTCTGTATAATTTAGAAGTCAAATGACAAACTTCAGTCTTTTAATCTTACTTTCAGCCACACTAGTAAATGCAATCTTGAGTTAATGTAACCATGTCAATGTATACCAATTATCTGTGGTCACACTGTGCTTCAATCTCATAGGGATAGCAGAGTATAGTAATTTCTTTACTGTTATATATAATAGTTTATAAAAAACTTTAATTTTTCCTAAAGTGTAATTTTTATATGCTTTTCAAAGGTTTTGAAAACTAGATTCTATATCTTTTTTTTTTTTTGAGTTGGAGTCTCACCTTTGTTGCCCAGTCTGGAGTGTAGTGGCAAGTTCCTGGCCACCGCAGCCTCGACCTGCTGGGCTTAGGCGATCCTTCTGCCTCAGCCTTCCAAGTAGCTGAAACTAAGATAGGCGCCACCACACCCAGCTTGTTTTTGTGATTTATTGTAGAGACAAGTCTCACCAAGTTGCCCAGGTTGGTCTCCACCCTTGGGCAATCCACTCTCCTCTGCCTCCTAAAGTGCTGGGATTACATGCTGAGCCACTGTGCCTGGCCTGGCCTAAGTATTTTTTTTAAATGATGTAATTGTTTTACAGTGTTTATTATTTGGAAGGTAAAGCAATAAAACCAAGTCAGTTGGTGGCACAGCTGGAACCAGAGCTCAGGTCGCTAACTCTGCTAACTCCGCATCCAGCAATATGCACCTAGTGACAAGTGTGGCTGATGCTTTTAAATGTTCACGTGAGTTTCCTTCAGTTGCAGTCTGAGGGCCTTCATGTGTTATGGTTGAAAACAGCCACTCTTTACCATGTTTGTACGTTATTCATAGTTGTTGGGGATTTTCATGTAGAGATGTGACTTCCAGGGCTGCAGGTAGGCACTTTTTCTTAACTCATTTTTTTTAGTGCTAATCATCTTGTAAACACACCATTATGTGCTGTTTGAAAGCCCTTTGAAATTAAATTTGTAAATAAGGAGATACCCAGCACACTGTTACTGCCTCTCTTGGGTCACATAGTATCCAGATGTCCTACCTCCCTCCCAGGCAGACTCCTTCTGGGATACCATACTGGTTACCATTTCTTTCATAATTCCTTGATTGCTCCTTTCCATATTCTTTTCACTTTAAGTTGATGGGCCTGAAGCAAAATGATTTGTTGGACCCATGTTGGATGGAGGCAATGTGGCATAGAGGTGAAATGCCAGAGTGATTGCTAGGAGATTTTGGTCCATTCCCAGTAAGAACTGGTCTTATAGTTATTCTGCACCTCAGAAAAAAGACATCAGTTGACTGGAATTTAGTGATTATTCTGGAAACTGATTGCATATCAGTTTTTTTGGAGAGTTTTTTAGAATATATGTCATTTCCAAGAGCTGAGATTATTCCAGTGTAGCTAGTTCTAGATCAGGGCTTCTCAACTTTGCCGTAAGTGACATTTTGGGCCAAATAATTCATTGTTGTGAGGACTGTACGGCACATTATAGGATGTTGAACAGTATCTCTGGTCTTTACTATTACACTTCTCCAGTTGTAACAGAAATGTCTCTAGTCATTGCCAGATGTCCTATACAGAGCAGAATTAGCCCTGAGAACTGCTAGTCTAGTTTATTTCCAAAGTGGAATCACCTTGGAATCATTTAATTCTGGATTTCAGTTCTGGCTTGCCCTTTTTTTCTTTCCTTCCTTCCCTCCCTCCCTCCCTCCTTTCCTTCCTTCTTCCTTTCCTTTCCTCTCCTTTCTTTTCCTTTTTCCTTCCCCCCCTGCCCTCCCCTTCCCTTTTTCTCTAGCAGCGTGACCCTTGGCAAGTTACCTAACCATTCTGAACTTTTGTTTCCTAACTGTAAAATTTGCTAAAAAATCTCAGTTCTGCAGGTTGGTTTGTGAGGCTGTATCCAAAGCACCTGGCCTAGTGCTTCCCCAGCAGTAGGCTTCTTAACTGGTAGCCATTATTTTCTGATTACATACCACATATTTTTGGAACTTGTCCTACTTACAAAATTAAATGATCTTATCTCTGTACTAGATTTCACTGAGTTTTGATTTTTTAGTCCTCTCTCAAGGCACACAGCCAATGTATTTATTTTAATTGCAAGTTTAATCAGCAAGATTCTTAAAGTTTTTCTTATATGATAGGTAATAATGGCAACATCTAGAGTCATACTTCTAAAATTGCTTTTCAAAATACTAAGGGAAAATAATTTTAATTATGACATATTTACTGAGAGTAGATTAAATAAAACCAGTTCAACCAGGATTGAAGTTTAAAATGAGATTTTAGGTAGACATACCAGATACCAAATAGTAAATATTTGGTCAGCAAAACAACAACAAAACCTTTTTTTAAGGTGGGTAGCTCATTAGCCTTGGTGTTTTCTTTGAGAAAAAGAATCTGACTTTCATCATCTTCTAAGTGATTTTTGCTTAGACTTCTAAACTTGGCACGTACTCTTCATTCCATTCCATGAAAAATCTTTTTTTTCACTGTTATAAATGTTTTTTCATTATTCCCTTTTACTTCATTTTTCGATTATAGAGTAAGCATGACATTAATGAAGAAAGGAAAATACCAACCTTTTTTTTTTTTTTTTTTTTGAGTTGGAGTCTCACTCTGTTGCCCAGGCTGGAGTGCAGTGGCACACTCACATGGCCACTGCAGCCTTGACCTGCTGGGGTTCATGTGATCCTTCCACCTCAGCCTTCCGAGTAGCTGAACTACAGGCATATGCCTGGCTGATTTTTTGATTTATTGTAGAGATGAGGTCTCGCCAAGTTGCACAGGCTGGTCTCAAACCCATGGGCTCAGGAAATCCCTTCACCTTGGCCTCCCAAAGAACTGTGATTACAGGCATTATTTTTATTATTATTATTTTTTTGTGAGAGAAGTGGAAAGGATATATTATCTTTCATCGGTATTCTTTATTTAAGATCTTAATAGCTCTGATCTTTTTGTATCTATGATAAAATCCCTGACTCAATTTCTGCTGTAAAATACTAAAAAGACCTTTGTATTGTTGAGTCTTTATGTTCCTTTTTGCATCTGCTAGTAATGTGACAGAATCATCTGTTATGTATTAATTTTCAGACTAGCCCTATTATTCAAGCTTGTTTATGGCCTTAAAATTTAATTTTTCCCATAAAAAGATAATATGATTACCAAGTGACTTTTAAACAGTATAAGCTGTAAATTGTGTTTTCTGTTCTGGTTTTTTGATGCTATTCATATTGAAAAAAATAAACATTAATGTTGCTTTTTTGGTAGAAAAATTGATGGAACTTTATATACTGTAATACTTGAGATTTTTTTTCCCAGAAAGAAAGTGAATAAAATATAATAAGTTTATATGTGTTTACCAAGCTATTTCTAATGTTGAAAACGAAATGAAATAGTCTCTAATTACCCCATCTATCAGTTTAATTAGAGATGTGTTAACATTCTGTAAAGAAAAATTTGTGATTTTATGCCTAGGTGATCAAAAATGTATGACCTTATAAATATAATACTCATGTAAAACACACATCCGGCATGTTTTTCTAACTGGTACTAGAACCTAGCCAAATGATTAATTCATGAGTACTTTCTGTTATGATCTGTATTATCCACCATTTGCCATTTTCTCTTTTCTTGTTGGTGTTTGTTGTTGTAGGTACCAGCAGACAGGTGTTAGGTGGCTGTGGGAATTACACTGCCAGCAGGCAGGAGGAATTCTGGGAGATGAAATGGGATTGGGCAAGACCATCCAGATAATTGCCTTTTTGGCAGGTCTGAGCTACAGCAAGATCAGGACTCGTGGTTCAAATTACAGGCAAGTGCTCCTCTGCAGACTGTCAGTCTGTAGAGCTCAATTAATATTTCATCAGATGTATTGCTGTGGAGGAGGGTCTTGTGAATTATTGATGACATTTCAATTACAATATTCCTTTAATTCTTTTAGTGGGGGACATCAAAGGAAAAATTTTACGAGACAATGGAGCTGTAGGGCAGGAGAAATTAAACATGTAACACTTTTAATGAATTCCAGGCATTGATGCTTCATTTTGCAGATGAGCCCCACTAGATATTTTGGGTCAATATGATGTCTAAGGTTAGCTTCTACAAATGGATTGTTTACAAACTCAATTATGTTAATATCAATAGTTTACACAATATGGAATTTTAAATTAGATATAATGCCTTTAGTTCCATTTATTAAATTTTACATTAAAATATTTGTTCTGGCAGGATACCAGGTGAGCATTACAGTAAGTACAAAGTCTATTCGTGGGGAAAGTTGGAACTTTGAAGAAGCCATTCTCCCTAATTTCCTTTATAAGCAGTGTACATGATAACATTTATATAGCCCTCTTTCTCTTTTTTTTATTTGAATGAAGTTACTTGTCTACCCTCTGTGCTTTCTGCTCCCTTTCCCAATCTACCAACTTTATATTATGCCAAAACCTAATTGACTGTTTAAAATTATAGAAAACAATGTTTAGATTTTAATCTTTATTTTTATTTAGAAATTTAAATAAACTATTAAGGCTTTAATATTCCAGTGGAATAAGCATTTAATCTTTTCTGTTTGGCAGTACTGAAATACTTTATTTTGAAATAAAGTACTGTGAGCATTTCCATAATTTAAACTATAAATTGACTTTATGGAAATCAGTATTGGTAAAAATATTGCTAGGTATATTATGTAGGATATTTAATTTTGTGCCCAGATAGTCCAAGAGTTTCTTATGTTTCGGTAGGTTTATCTAATTAGTAAGAGCAGGCTGTTTACCAGAAGAGTATGTCTTGGAAATTCACTCGCTACATATGACTTGGAGACACCTTTAAGGGAGTGTCGATGTGCCTAAAGTCAGCAGCTGCAGGAAGTTACTTCCTATACTCTAGCTCATCAGCAGTGAAATGCTTAGTGGAGATCCAAATATGAACCATAAACTATTTTTTTTTCTTTTGAGTTGGAGTCTCACTCTGTCGCCCAGGTGGGAGTGCAGTGGTATGCTCACAGCCACCTCAGCATTGACCTGCTGGGCTCCCGCGATCCTTCTGCCTCAGTCTTCCAAATAGTTGGAACTACAGGCTACCACACCTGGCTAATTTTTATTTATTTATTGTAGAGGTGAGGTCTCGCCAAGTTGCCTGGGCTGGTCTCGAACCCGTGGGTTCAGGCAATCCACTCACCTCGGCTTCCCAAAGTGCTGGGATTAGAGGCTGAGCTACCAAGCCTGGCCAGAGCCATGAACTATTGAGTCAAGAACATTGTTTTTTTAGTCTTCAGAGTTTAGTGCTTTGTTTTTATTTCTTACCCTTTTATTAATTTGGCAGATCAACACTTGTGAGGAGTGTTTGAAGTTGTAGAATATTTTAGAAATTCCAGTTGCTCGTATATAGATGTAGGGGTCTGAAGGGGAAACAAATTGAGAATTTTAAGTGCTAAATGTTTTTTGTTGTTACAAGCAAGTAGTTATTGAAGCAGAGGATTTTCCTCAAATATTAGAGTTGTATTACATTTTGCCTGGAAGCATGTGAAAACATTCCAGCCCAAGGGAAAAGTCAGAATTGAAAATGGATATTCAGTGTTGTCTTATCTATGATTGTTATTAATTTAGCATTAAAAAATGTTTTCTCTATTCCAAATAAACTCTTTGGTTGGCTCAATTTCTGCAACTCTGTTGGGGTTTTTTGGTAATGAGAATGCCCTAAATTGCCCCAAATGGTTTCTAGGACTTTTTCTTTCCTTAAATGATTTCTGGGATTTTCTTATTTCCCATCTCTTTTCTTCCTTTCCCTTCCTATTATCATGAAACTTGTGTGGGGTCTAATACTCTGGGCCTAGGAAACCTAAAGTTATCCCTGCAGTGTAGTTTTGTTTTAAAAATTAAAACATCCTCTCTCAAGTGGTGACAATCCTACTAGGAGTGAAATCAGGGCTAATATTGAGCAGCAGCTGTAATCAATTAACTACCAATGCTCATATCCTCTTTTCCTTAATGAAATAGTGTGGTATATTGGACTGTAGCCCAGATCATCTTTATTAAAATAGTAATGGTAGAAGTGGCTTTCAAGAATGTGGCAATATATCAGCCAAACAACTGGGCTCCTCATGTGTAGAGGTGTATTGAGGAGAGTGGGCCCCTCTGTTCACATGTGTCAGAGTGAATTGGATCACATTTTTCTTTTCTTTTTTGAGTTGGAGTCATCCAGGCTGGAGTGCAGTGGCATGCTCATGGCCACTGCAGCGTTGACCTAATGGGCTCAGGTGATCCTTCCACCTCAGCCTTTCAAGTAGCTGGAACTACATGTGTGTGCCACCATACCTGGCTAATTTTTCTTCATTTATTGTAGAGCTGAGGTTTCACCAAGTTGCCCAGGCTGGTCTTGAACCCCTGGGCTCAGGCAATCCTCTCGCTTCTGCCTCCCAAAGTACTGGGATTACAGGAGTGAGATACCGTACCCAGCTTGGACCACATTTTTCTAACAATTTTATAACATGTCCTCTTCTGAAACTAGATGAGCATGGGATTTCTGCTCTTGTCTGAAAGAAAAGTAGCCCTTGAAGTCATGTGAAGTTCTGTGTGAGCTGGCATTGCTTCAGCATTGACCATGTACATTTCCTCTGAACTCTTTGCAAACTATAGACTTTTGAGCCTTAATTTGAGATGGTTTTTTTTTTAGTGTTGCAATTTTACAGGCCATGAACATTGAAATTAAAACCGTTTAAGTATCTGTGATGCCAAGAAACTTCCTAGTAAAATAAGTTTGGTTTGTTGCTTTTTAAAAATGTGTATTGTATGTGTTTCTAAAAGAGGAAGAAGCATATTATACTTGGTTGATAAAAATGTATACTGGTTGCTGTGTTCCCCATTCATAATGGATACACTACCTTCTTTTCACTTTGCCGTTTATATGATCATGATAGGCCTCTGAATTTTATGATGGTGAGGAAAGAATTAACCTTTCCAACTTCAGTTAATAGTTTAAAGTCTTAGCTATCATTTAATTTCTAATTATGAATAAATATCCTGAAAAAGTTAATAAACTTTCAAGGGTAAATATTTAGTTTGTAATTCCTGGTATGTTCTAGTTATGACTAGCACGTTTCCATCTTCCAGGTTGAAATATTTGCCTATGGAGCTATTGGCTTGCCCTAAATTCATTAGATAATCAATGACGATCAAAGATGAAAGGAATTGCAGTCTGTTTGGTAATCGATGCTAATCTCTCTAGTACATTTAGTGATTTCTTATGCTGGTCTCACTGGTATTGAGAGTTGGAAAAGGGTGGTTTGGTCGACATGACTGTTAACAGATTTGATTGGCCCTTATGCGGTACAGTAACAGTCTAGGTATGCTCCTAGATTTCACCTTAGTATGAAAACCTCTATATTCTTCTAATAGAGGGAAAATGGTAGAAATTAAAGGGCATAATGATACCAGGTAGATAATGAGCTAGGAGAACTTATTAGCCTTAGATGACAATGTATGCCATCAGTGTAGCAGTTTGTAGAAGGCATATGATAAAAGAGAAAAAGTGCAGTATAACCTGAAAAAGCATGTGTACTTATGCTGATTTGAATGCATATTTTAAAATATTTTTAAATATTTTAGACAGCTTTTGGTTGGTTGTTTCCTAATCCCTGCTAAGTGCATATTGATAATAACTCTCTCTTTATTCCCCTTAGAGGATAAAAAGGGGTGTGTTTAATCCTTTTAGAAAAGAATGCTGTCATGGAAGGGCCCAGGGCAGAGTCCCACTGTCCCCAGAGAGCTTGAGGGATACCCGTACAGGACCCACCTGTGGGGAGGAGCACGGCTTGGACGTTCTGTGGGAAGTGTTGGAGTCTCTTATACCCTCTGGCTTCTTGTAGTCTGACTCTTTCCACCCAGTCAGGGAGCAGGGGCAGTGATTGTGGGGGAAAGTGAGGAGGGCTTTGAAGTTGACAGAGACATTTTGTCATGTTGGAGTATAAGGGTAGGTCTCATTTAAGTTAGTACTTGACCAAAACCTCATTGTTTTTCTGTTAGAACTATAGATTATTTTTCAGTTGTGTAGAAGATTATCTTTAATATTTTAAGAACTTTATGATTTATTCTGAGTTATTTACAAAAATTGTTTTAAGTTCAGGAATTGTGTATTGAACTGTAGCAAGAAAATAAAAATCACTCATGACCCTGTAACTGAGACATCTCTTTTAGCATTTTGACATTTTTCCTTCTTTTTTTTTGAGAATAATTTAATATGTTGACTTTAAGATACAACTACATTCTAATGTCAGTATTTTAAATATAAAGAAATGGATCCTTACAAATCAAAATAGCCCACAGGCCATGAGGTTGGTTTTTCCTTTTTCCTTTTTTTTGTTTAAACAAATGTGTACCACGATGTTTCAGCAAGTAAGGCAAATGCCATGAATACGAAAGTTGAAGTTTGTAATATACCACATCCAGAACCCAGGGGAGATGAATTAGACCAGGAGTCCTCAAACTTTTAAAACAGGGGGCCAGTTCACTCTCCCTCAGACCATTGGAGGGGCGGGCAATAGTTTAAAAAAAAAACAAACTATGAACAAATTCCTATGCACACTGCACATATCTCATTTTGAAGTGAAAAAACAAAACAGGAACAAATACAATATTTAAAATGAAGAACAAGTAAAGTTAAATCAACAAACTTACCAGTATTTCAATGGGAACTATGGGCCTGCTTTTGGCTAATGAGATGGTCAGTGTCCGGTTCCATATTTGTCACTGCTAGTCGTAACAAGTGATGCAAGTGTGCATCAGTTAGTCTAGATCTGGCTGGAGATTTCAGATGTTTCACTCTGGAAAAAGTCTGTTCACAGACATAAGTGCTGCCAAAGACGGTTGCCATTTTGAGTGCATGGTTCCTGAGATTACTGAGAGGGAGGAGTCTAGAGACAGAGAGAAGGAGGGGAGTCGGAGAGTGCAACGCACATTCCACACATGCACACTGCAGGCCCGGACGAGTCGGCTGCTAGGCAGTACAGGCAGCAGCGGCAAAAACACCCGGTGGGCTGGGTAAATGTCCTCGGCGGGCCGCATGTGGCCTACGGGCCGTGGTTTGAGCATCCCTGAATTAGACTATTTAACAATCAGGTAATATCATGACAAGTTGGTTTGCAGCATCAAAACTGCCCATTTAAGTTTCTTTTTTCTTGATGATCAGAGCTCCCACTTTGTCTCCAGTCTCTTTGCTGTGTTTTGTGTGAGCCCCATCACAGAATGGGAACTTTTTGGACCTCCAACAATGGCAGTACATAGCTTTATCTCCCAAATCCTCCATGTCAAAAGCATGTACAATCTTAGGGTTGTCTTTCTGGATGTGAAGGCTTACCACCCCTTATTGCAATGATCTTTAACATAAAAATCTTTAAGCTAAATAACCTATTGCAGCTGTTCCAGCAGCAGTGGTAACTGCCGCAATCCTTTCAACTCATCCACTGGAATTGGACGTCAGACTCATGGCACAGTTGTTTGCAGGGCATGTCTGTTGGATACCGGGCACAAACGAGCTCGCACAGACAGCGGGAGTCAAGGTGCAAGAGGCGTTCCGACATATTTTCTTCCAGTCTTAAAAAAGTTTTTATTTAATAAAGCCAATATTCATTACCTACTGTAAACTAAGCATTGAGACCATTTGAAGAAGGATTGTCCCTACTCTCAAAGAACTTAGGAAGGATCTAAAATAGTTAAGATGAGGGTGATACATATTATGACAGGGTTAGCATGAGGTGTGCTGAGGAGGGGTTCTTGGCTTGTCTGCAGGGAAAGAGACAGGGAAGATTCTGTGGAAGAAGCTGAGGTCTGAAGGATGAGAAGGTAGTTGGGGGGATAAGAAGGTAAGCAGGACACGGCAAAGGTCCCGAGGTCAGAGGAGGACGCACCTTGGAGGAATCAAAGACAGTTCAGACTGGTAAGCTGCTGACCATAGGGGCAAGTGTTAGGGTGGCGGCAGTGAAAGGTGAGGCTGGAGAGGTGAGCAGAAGTCAGATACTTGTAGCCTCATAGGCCAGGTCCAGGTGATTAGACTGTCCCAAGAGCAGTGGGCAGCCATTGAAGGCTTTGAAATGAGGGGATGAGGCATTCTGATTTTGCTTTTTGAAATGATCATGCTTGAAGGTGTAGTGAACCAAATGAGAGATGATAGTGGCTGGAACTGGAATAGCTGGTATAGAGGGAGACGCATGAATTCTCTTTCAGGGAATTCAGGAGGTAGAAGTGATGTGCTTGGTGAACTTGGCCTGGATTTCTGATATGGGCACTGGAGTGTGGATGATGATTCCACTGGATTGGAAAAGGGACAAGGGGCTGGTGGGGGAGGATGGCATGTGGTGTCGTGGGACAGCCAAGTCAGCAGTGAGAAATCCAGTGCTTGGTGGTTTGGAGTTTAGGAGAGAGATCTGAGCTGGAGTTGTGTAGAGTTGGCATCAGCATCTAGAAAGAATTGAAATGGTAGGAATTAGTTAGCATAGGGATGGTGTGTACAGTGGAGTAATTTATATGCATTTTGCTTCACACAGTTCACATCTTTATAGGGCAGGAAAAGGGAGGGGAAGGGAAGAATGACAGTGTACAAAGTGCCAGTGACTGCTCCAGTTGGCAAGTAGACCTGCAGTGCCCTTAATCATTCTCAGTTCCCAGTTGCCTCTTGTAGCATGAGCTGAGTATGAGTCTGTTGTTGAAGAGGTTGTCACAGTTAGTTTTCACTTCTGCTTTATTTCTGTTGTATGCCCTGACTAGCACCCAGCTCCCAGCAGGACTAAAGATGAAGTGGCTGAAGTAATAGGAGCACTGATGTCGTTTGGGTGTGTGCTCAAGAGCTTCAGTAAAGGGATTGGTTTCACTTGCTTGATTGTCCTGGAAGGTCTGGATGGGTATAGATGCAGACAGGTACCTACAGTGTAGAAAGTATCAGGATATTTGACTGTAAGTAAATGAAACCTGTTAATTGGGTTAAACATTCACAAATATATGGTATACCTAGAAACCTACAGGGAGCAAGCTGAATACGATCAGTGATGTCTTCACTGACCCAGACACTTTAATTTTCTCATAAGGCCAGGTCTCCTTGTGATCATTAGCTCTCCTTACCACTGTAGCCAAATTGCCCAGGGGCCCTTGGACTGTACTTACAGCAGGAGAGACCAAGAGGGAAAACTTACCTGTCTAGAGTGCAAGTCTTGCCAGGCCAGCTTCAAGGTCTTGGTCCAGGGGGAGTTCAGGGGAATACTGTGCACTGATAGGCTTTAGATGAACCAGGATCTCTGCTTCAATTAGTGGGCAGTCCCATAAAGTGTGTGTCTATGGGAAGGAAGGAGGGGCGCCTGCACAAATCTGTGATTCTTTAGAAAGAAGTGCAGGGAGAAAGGAATATTGAGGCAGTGGCCACAACCGTTCTTCCAGCCTATCTATGTCTAAGGGAATTGGGGTGATTCTATAAATAATTTAAAAAACTTTTTATGAGCATTTTTTCAGATTATTAAATATTCTTAAAAATTATTTTATTGATTATATGGTATTCTATCTTATTTAATAGACTCTTAATAGTATTTTCTATATGGCACTGTTGTAAGCACTTTGCAGATGGTAACTGATTTAATCTTTGTGATAACTCTATAAGATCAGTCCTATTATCCCCATTTGAATATGAGAAACTAAGGTTCAGAGAGGTTAAATAAAGTGCCTGAGGTCATACAGGTTGCAGAGCTGGGATTCAAACTCAGGCAATGCCTCTGACCACTGGCCTGTACTGTGTTAAAGAAATGGGATATAACCGGGCTCGGTGGCTCAGCCTGTAATCCCACGCCTTTGGGAAGCTGAGGTGAGTGGATTGCCTGAGCCCGTGGGTTTGAGACCCGCCTGGGCAGCGAGACCTCATCTCTACAATAAATCAAAAAATCAGCCGGGCATGGTAGCACAAGCCTGTAATTCCGGCTACTTGGAAGGCTGAGGCTGAAGGATCGCCGGAGCCCAGCAGGTCGAGGCTGCAGTGGCCGAAAGCGGCCACTGCACTCCAGTCAGGGCGACAGAGTGAGACTCCAACTCAAAAAAAAAAGAAATGGGATAGTTCGTTCAACCGTCCTATTATCTATGGACATGAGTAGCATCCACTTTTTTCGCAATGTAAATAATGCTCCATTGTGTCTTCTGGTACAGAAATGTTTGTATTGGGGTTTCTGGGTCAGCTTGCGACTGCTGTTAAGGTTCTAACTGTGTCTGTTAGCCACCATCCATACAACAGTGCTAGCTCACATTCTGTCGGTGTGGGCTTCCCAGGAGAAAACAGTCACTGGGAAGCTGCTCCACTGTGCTTCATGGCGTGGAGAAGCAGGCAGCATGGCGTAGTGGAGGCTGGGTGCAGCCACCCAAAGACTGACTTATATGCATTTCTCCATGTTGCCTGGGCTACTCCAGCCTCTCAGCCTCTGAACAGTGGAGCATTTTTGCCTTGCTTACTTCCCAGGGCTACGAAGATTGATTGAAATTCAGTGGGTTGAAAATTCTTGGTAGACTATAAAGTTTCAAATTTAAGACACTGTTATGTTCACTTAGGTTAAGTTAAGAAGATAATGACTTAGAACAGAAGGAGAGAAAAGTATTTTTGTTAAATAATATTTATTTGATTCTTTAAATGTTACTACAGATGTTATCTTTTAATGTATTTAATAGTTTAATACCTGTATCCACTAATTGATGAATGGGATCATAGAGATTTCACTTACTAAATTTTATCTACAATAGCTTTTTCTTTAAATAAAAAACAATAAATTTCCATAGCTGGCATTTTCTTCTTTTGAACTGTTAAGGGTCTTTTTTTGGTTTTGGGGGGAATATTTTTTTTTATTTGATCACTCTGTATGCTCTTTCATGTTTGTTTTCTTCTTGGACATTTGGGTACAGGTTCGAGGGGTTGGGTCCAACTGTAATTGTCTGTCCAACGACAGTGATGCATCAGTGGGTGAAGGAATTTCACACGTGGTGGCCTCCATTCAGAGTGGCAATTCTGCATGAAACTGGTTCCTATACCCACAAAAAGGTAACATTATAATATTTCAGTACCTTTTTGGTTTTTTTTTTTTAAAGCTCTCCATTTTAAATATTTGGTTTTTCTTTGATCTGTGTATTTCCTCAGTTGTTTAGTTCTATGTTTCTCTCACATATTTAAAGTTATTATTATTGGTTTCCTTTAGAGCTCTGTATTTTCAAAACAATTATTAGTATAAGCTTTATTTTTCTAATAGTCTGTGGTGGTGTTATGACATGTTTATTGTCCAACAAAACACAACTGGGCACAGACAGAGCACCACAAGCCTGATGGTGTGAGTGGATTTATAAATTAGATGGCTTACGTTACAGTAATGGGGGGACTTGGGCATTAGTGGCTTTGAACAGTTTTAGGAAGATGGTTACAGAAAGTAACATAACCTTTAATTGGTTAAGTGTTTACTAATATGCTTTTAAGACATGTTTTTGATGAACAAAAGAAGCAACCTGCCATTTTGAGTATTTTACAAGTATTATTGCTCTTTAGTTGTGTTTTGTTCCCTCCATTCTTGGTCATGTATTGAAAAATGTATTTCCTCATTTCCTTGTTGTTTGTTAACAGTCACATTATCAAAAAGGAGTTTTATCTATGCCCAGTAGATAGCATAGGTGTGTTATATTATGCTTTCTTTCCTTCTCCTCTGTCTCACCATCTAGACTGTGAGCCCAGTCGAGTGGGGACTGTAGCTGACTCATTTTGTATCACAGGTGCTTCAACCACATTTGCTGAATAAATAATAATCACAGTTTCACTGGGCTTGCAGGTTATGTTATCGAGGAGAAGTGGCAGTTTGTTTTGGAGTGTGTTCTTTCTTTTCTGAGTCTTCTGAGCTCTTGAGCTAGCTCTCCTGCCCTGGGAAAGCCGTGCTAGCTGCAAGGGCTGTGGAGTGTTTGCCTCCCTGACATAGGTACGCAGGAGCTGTGGAACTCCGGGTTCTTCGTGATTTTGCCGATACCCCTTTTCCTTCAAATTCCTGTTGTGCTCATGATCATGGGCAAGTAGAACTTTTGATAGAAGTGGATTTTGCTTGTCATTCAAATACAATGTCTTGAACGCTTTGTTGTAGCTAATATGATATAAAATTTTGAAAATTTGTCATTTTTAAACCAGATACCAAATGATCCAACAATTTCTGAACAGAGCACATTTATCATTCTTCTTCCCCCAATTGCTTTTTAGCTTCCCACCTCTGTCACCACTTGATCCCATACTATCTGTTTTAATAGTCTCTTTGATTGGCAGCATAATTTAGAATTGTTAAATGCACACCCAGCAATTATGCAAAAAAAAAAAACCTGATAGTTCTAACCAAATGATCAAATCTGATAAAGAAATTTGTAGGCCTCTGAATCTCTTTTAATGGTCAAATCTCATTAAAATCTCATTTAATAGGAGTCTGAGATTTCCATTTTCTCATGATGTTTTGTGACTCCTTTTTTCTAACATAGAACAACTTTTATGTGAGTTGATTAATATTTATTTATTGAACAACTGTAAACACTATATTCCAGGTGTTTGAGGTTGTTTGGGCTCTAAAAAAATGGATATGATGTTTTTAACCTTGAAAAGCCAACTGTTTTCTTGGGGAAATAAAATACATGAAGAGATAATGGATAATGGCAGTCTTGTAATAGTTATCCCATCACTCACAGTGGGTGGTAGCATCTTTAGCACTGTATTGTAAAGTTTAATGATTAAGGAACCTTTTTTTCAACATGTTTCAAGATATATAATGAGAAATCACTTATATTCAGAAACAATTTTCACTTTCCCATTCTTTTCTACTATGTAGGATCTAGTAATTCTATAATATTTTTGATAATTAAAAGAGTTTTCTCTTTGATCATTTCATGACATTTAGAGGCTTAAGAGTAGGAAAAGCAATGCTAGCATACAGTTTCAGGAGCGTAGATTTTTGTGCTTACCAGACCAGGGTTTGAAACTTGGATCTGCCATTTTATAACTCTGTGACCATGGGCAAGTCCCTTAGCCTTTCTGAGCCTGGTTTGATCACCAGTAAAGTGAAAACAATTTTTTTCGTAATTTTGTGGGGATTTATTGTGAGGCTAATATGTGTGTACAAAGAGGTCAGTGTGGCTGCTAACATTTAACATTTACTCAGGTAATTCTTATTATTGTTAGAAACAAAGAACATTGTAGGCTTCTACATCTCAGTAGTTGTGAAAAGATACTGAATGAGGCACTGCTGATTGATTCAATATATATTCTAGATAGAAGGTACACACCTGCTTTATCAAAAACCTTCATGATCATTCAGCACCTAGACCTTTTCTTCTCATGTCCAGATACATTTGGCCCCAGATGGAAACAGTAAAGTGCAAGTTGTGATTAAAAAGCAAACCACCCAAAAACTTGGCCATCAGATGAAACTACCGTCACATATTCTTTAAAAAGTTCTGTTTTCTGAAACACTAGAGCAAAAAGCTAGAAGAGTGTCAAAAACATAACACAAAATGGAAAGAGACCACAGTGTCCCTCAAGCATCCTGAGTATTTCAGGCCCTTTCCAAGTATGCAAATTACAACACAAAGTGATATCATTCCTATTAACTTTAGCGTCAGTGTGAACACCTGATACAAGAAATGGTAGATGGTGGGCTTGTTCCTTGAGGTATATTGTAAAATTATGTTGCTGGAGCCCATTTTTTTCTTCATTGTCAGCACAAATCCTTGTTTATTAAAGATTTAGCTTGAAGGAAATTTTAATTAATTACAGGTGCAGTAAATCCTGCCTGGGAAGCTGCCGTGCTGTGTTTCCGTGAATGGCCTTCATGTGCCTATGCTTCACTTGGCCCTCCCCGCTGCCTGACAGTGTGATTTATGGCTGTTGTTTTCTACCAGTCCACTGTTTGCCCTCTAGGAGGGATTGGTCTCCTGAGCCTCCATAATAAACAGCAGCACTTTCACAGACATCTTTTAATGACAACAGCATTGCATTCAGTAAGTCAGGCTAATTGCAGATGTACCCTATTAATTGCAAAAACTAAGAGAGGTTACATATTTTACAAGCTTTTAATTTGAAACCGCCCGAGATGATTTGTCTTAAGTGTTTGGATAGAAACGTCCATAATATTCAACAATTTACCATTATTGAAACTCCAGTCTAGACAGTTATAGAATTCTGAGATGGAATCAGGTGAAAACAAATGGTCTTAGCTGTGTTTTTGCCCAGTGGCTTTTAAATGATTATATTTTCAGTGGGGACATTTTGAACAATTTCCTGTTCTTTTTATAAAAGCATCTTCCTAATTCTTGTTAATCATTATATATCTTCCTGAACACGGTAGAAATTCTTTATTTCTATTGCTAACATGACAGAATTTTCCAAATAAGTTTCAATTCTTAAACAAGCACAGGAAGCTACATATTGTTCCAGTGGTACCTATTCAAGAAGCTCGGCTGTAGAGCTTCAGATATACTGAGTGATGTCCAGAATTCACTTCAGCTTTCTGCTCCTTGGAGGTTATATCTGTGCATCTAGCAGTTAGGAATTGTGCGTTCATGAGCAAGCGTACCTGCATTTGCAGGGTTTGTCTGTAATACAGGGGACTTTTTATAAAAGTGAGTGGCAATTTAACTTCTGCTCTGTTTCAGGCCCCAAGCAGTGTGTCGTTTTCCCCTCCCCTTCTCTCTGTGCGCACTCGCAGCTGCTGCCTAGAATGGACTCAGGCATGGAGCGTGCCCATGTCTCCATTTGTTGTCACCTCATGCCCTGCCTGCTGTCATGGCTTCTAGCAGCCACTGCTCTCCTGGAGGGGAGCATGGGAACAGAGTCAGGGTAGCTGCCTGCCCAGATTCTCAGTGAAAATTTAGATGTGCAGGAACTAAGGAAATCAGCTCTGGCTTCTAAAAGTCGTGGGACTGTCCAGGCAAGGTGTTGATGATGAAGAGTCTTTGGACTGGATGTAAAAGCAATCGTAGTTCACTGCATCCTGGAACTCCTGTGCTCAAACAATCCTCCTGCCTCGGCCTCCCAAAGTGCTAGGATTACAAGAGTAATATCATTCTATTTGTTGCTTTTTGCCTGGTATTTATATTCCCTATCCTGCCTTTTTTGATTTGTATTTCTGTGGTATATCTTTGATGATTCCCATATTTCATCTTTCAGTGTCATTCTGATTTGCGTCTCTTTTAAACACTAGGCTGTTTTTTCCTTACCTAGTGGAAAGTCTCACTGTTAACTCACTGTCATATGATGACCCCTGATGTGTTTAGACTGAGACTTGCTATCTTATTTTCTATTTATTCTATGTCCTATTTTCTATTTTTTGGAGTTTTGCTCTTTCCTATTACTTTTTTCTCTATGGTGATTTGATAGTTGTGCATTCTGTTTCTTTTCTAGTGTTTATATGAAAGTAGCAGCTATTAGTAATAGGCTTAAATTTTTGTATTTTAACATATTTTTCTTGTGCAATTAGGAATTAAACAGTATCTATCCAACCTAGGCTCCCTGCATGGGCAGGAGCACTGCTGTCTGTTCCGCAGAGCGCAACTCAGTGCACACCTTCGTTTCAATCCATGACTGTACCACTTCACTGTCTGGGTGCAGAGCACTGAAGCTAGCCAGTATCTTGGTGGCTGATTTTCCGAGTCCTTTCCTGTGTGGAACTGGAATTTGTTTCCTTTTTCTGTCAAGCATGATTGCTAGTTTGAATTGATGGACTATCCCAGGTTCACCACTTTCCCCTCCTCCTTAGAATCAAGATTTTTCTCTTTACCTTATGGCATTTTTACTGTTTCAGAAAAGATATCTGAAGCAGACAGAAAATTTTTCATTTTTATTTTTTGTTCTATGTTTTGCTATGACATTTTCTCTTTATTTTTCTTTATTTTTATAATTTAGACGTTTAGTAGGATATGCCTAGGGATATGTCTTTTTTCATGTTTCTGCCTGATACTCTGGGGTGTTTTACTCTGTAGACTCAAGTTCTCCTCAGTTTGTGGAGTTTTTTCTCTATCATTTTAAAAATAATTGCCTTTATATTCTTCTTGCTCTGTCCTCCTGGAATTCACTTTATACATTGTTAGAGCTCTTAGGTTTGTCTTCCAACTCTCCTTGGAATTTCTCTTATTTTCTTGCTTTTGTTTTAAAATAATAAATTATTTTCCATCTACCTTGTTTTAAGTTTAACAAGGATAAACACAAAGGATGTTTTAGAAAAATAAAAATTGGTAGGTATTTACATATTATAACTTTATCTCATCTTTTGTTGTACATCCCCCAATAGTGGCTATATTAGTCATTGTTTACTACAGGTTAACATGTAAAGTTGTTAACTTCCAGTGCTTGGAATTATATGTATTATGTTTGTGCATTTTTATAAAGTGCTTGAAATTGTGTCATGATTGAAGGAGTGTCATTTTAAATCATGCTCACTTAATTTCACTTCTTATTTAAAAACCAGCTTTGTCATTTTATTATGGTTTTAGGAGAAACTAATTCGAGATATTGCACATTATCATGGAATTTTGATCACTTCTTACTCCTACATTCGACTGATGCAGGATGACATTGGCAGGTATGGCTGGCACTATGTGATCTTGGATGAAGGACACAAAATTCGAAATCCAAATGCTGCTGTCACTCTTGCTTGCAAACAGGTAAGACCTCTTATAACAAGGGGATTTGCAGATGGAGAATAGTATTTAATTCAGAGTAAATTATCTGCTTTTAGTAATATATTTGTTGAATCTTTTCTTGTGCCTTTGCATAAAGAATTAAACATATACATATTGCCTTAATGCATAAGTTTCTTTATTCTTGCCTTTAATTATGTTTTTTAAATTCTGATTATCTATATTACTTAATGTCTCTTATATGAGTCAGTTGTTAGAACGCAACCAAATCCAGTTCTAATCCCTAGTATTCATCTTGAACTATAATCAAGAAATTCCCCCTCATTTTCTCATCAAATGTAATCGAAGAGTTATAGTTGCATAAAATGTCTACATTTTGGAGAGGACCAAAATGAAGCAGTAACTAAAATGACAAGTAAATGTGTTAAATAATAATGTTGCATGGGAGTGTTTTGTTGTAGGGATGGTGACCGTCTCTTAAAAGGTGATTTAATTAAAAAGGTATTTTCTTTCCTTAAATAGTTCCGCACTCCTCATCGGATCATCTTGTCTGGCTCACCAATGCAAAATAACCTCCGAGAGCTGTGGTCACTCTTTGACTTTGTCTTTCCTGGAAAGTTAGGCACATTGCCCGTGTTTATGGAGCAGTTCTCTGTTCCCATCACGATGGGGGGATATTCAAATGCTTCCCCGGTACAGGTAATGTATTAAACTGATAACACTGCTGGCATTTTAATATAGAAGATGCTTCTATTAAACATTATACTTTGTAGCCAAGTCATTTGGAACATAGGAAAAATGACCAGGCTTATAAATTGGTATCTGGTAAAAGTCACAAAATTGTTTTTGACATGATCATACTTTTATGCTTAAAAACTTATGAAAAATATTCATCTAAGGGAAAGCCCTAGAATAAAACTTCTTGCATAATAGCTATTAAACAGTTTTGGTGTTGATTGTTTTTTGCATGTTTTGGTCAGATAAGAAATTTAAAAATGATGAACACGTGGTTAGAAGAGCAGTCAGAAATTATGAAACGAGTGAATCAGTTCTGACAGCATACAGTTTAGTTCTGCAAATTGGGGTAGTACATATTATAAAAAGTATTGGAGAAACTTAGAAAGGGGGACACCAAAGAGGATTGGATAGTTTAGGGAAGACTTAATGAGACAAGTGTCTCTTAACCTGCTTCTGGGAAAATAGGGCAAGGTGAGGACTTGTAGATTAGAACAACAATATGAACATGGAGGCAGTGAAGAGATCTACTTGACTGGTGACATTTGTGAGGGAGTTGTGGGAAAGCTGTGGATGCCAGAACCAGGGTCCCTTCAAAGGGATGCAGTGGTGCTCGGGGCTGGGCCATTGGAGGTATCTCAGCAGGATGCTGGGAAATAGTACTTCTCAGAGGTTGCTCAGGCTGCAGGATAGTCACAGGAAGGAGCTGGCATTGGGGGACCTGCAGGAACTGTTGGGGTGAGGGCTGTGAGGACTTGGACCTAGACTTGGGTGGTGGTTTGAGAAAGACAAGGGAATAAGAGACCCAGGTGGCATTTTTAGGCAGAACAAACAAGTTGTGAAGACTGAGAAGATAAGGAAATGGGATGAGGTGATGAGCTTGCTACAGTTGACCCCTGAAGTTTTAGGCCGGGGGGCCTGGGCTATGGGTGGAATGGGGTTATCACAGGCAAGAATACCAGGATGTGAAGCTGACCTGAGAGTGGTTTGTAGCCTGTGGAAGGAGACTTCAGACTTGGTGGGAGACAGGGTTTCTGTGTGGCCCTCAGCCAGGCCTGCAGCTGCCACGCCATGGCAGAGCCAAGGGTCAATGATGCCTTTCACCAAAAGCGATACTCTTATATTCGGAATATTTAATTAGAAAAAGAACTTTAGACATTTTAAATCAGAAGATTGTCAAAAACAATTATAATACCTTTTACATTTTGAGATTGAATGATACTAACTTTCTAAAGATACTCTTCTTTGTCTGAACCCCTCAGTTATACCATTCTTTAAAAAATTGTTTTTATTTTGAAATCATTTCAAATTTAACAGAAAGTTGTAAGAATTCTAAAACAAAGAACTCCCATGAATACTTCAAGCAGATTCACCATCTGTTAACATTTTGCTAACATGTTGCCACATTTGCTTTATCATTCCTTCTCCCCCTGCCAACCTCTTTCTGTACATCTCTTTCATGTACACAAATTAAAGCTATTTTTTTACTTGAGAATAAATTGCAGACATGATGTCTCTTTCCTCCAAATTTTTCAGTGTATATTTCCTAAGAACAAGGACAGTCTCTTAACCACAGTGTAAACATCAAAATCAGAAGGAACTGTAACATTAATGTAATTCTACTATCTATTCTTTAGCCACTCACATCTTGCCAGATGTTCCAGTAGTTTCCATATCTCTTTAGTCTCCTTTAATGTGAAGTAGTTCCTCTAATCTTTCTTTTGCCTTTCATTGCCTTGACATTTGTTATGACTACAGGCCCATTAGTTTGTCGAATGTACCTCAGTTTGGGTTTGTCTTACATTTCTCATGATTAGATTCAGGTTACACATTTTTGGCAGGACTATCACAGAAGTGACATGTCTTTCTCAGTGCGTGGTGTTTGGAGGCACATGCTGTTGGTTTGTTCATTATTAGTGACCTTAACTCTGATTACTTAGGTAAAATAGTGTGACCAGATTTCTAAACTCTATAAAGTTATCACTTATCCTTTGGAATTAACAAATCACTTGTGGAGAAATGTTTTGAAATGTGTCATTACAGTCTGTTTCTACCTTGAAGTTTTGTTAGGAGTTTGCGTACTTACCTTTTTTCCTTTTCTAAATGATAAGGTCCTTGGGAGCTTTTTTTCGATTAAGACCTTGGTTGCCGTGCATTATTGAATCTTAAGAAGCTAGTTTGTCCATAAGTATATACTGTATCAGGCTGGGCTGAAATGATGGGTGGGAGCTGGAAACCAAAATCTTTCCTTAACTAGTATACCCAGTCCAGACAGTAGTGGACAAGGGGGAAAGTGCAGTAAACATGATTCCAGTACAGAGCACTGAGACTGTGATCAGAAGAGATACCCAATATCAAAGAAGGTCTTCCTGGAGAAGAGATGACTAAGCCAGGGTCTAAAAGACTGAGGAAGGTGAGGGAGAGAGCATTGGTAGCCCAAATACATTCTGTTGCTGGAGTTGGCATGTTCACTGGGGTAGGGAATGCTAGAACTGAAGGGAACCTGCAGGGATGTCTAGTTGAACTTCTTGATCTCATGCTCAGGGGTTATTGAGACTCAGCGTTTAGGCAACTTGCTTAAGGTCACATTACTCTAGAATACGCAGAACTCCCTCTTGTCAGGAATAGGAGGAAGCATGGCATTCTCAGTGAGGTATCTGTTTTTCACAGCACTGGGGAGCTGGGGGTGATAGAGAAATCTCATTGCTTCTCCTTCCTGTGTTTTTACACAGGAAGCAGACATGGAGCCAGTTGGTAATTAAATATAAGATAATCTTCATGGGGTGGCACTCAGGAGAGAGCAGGAGCCCAGCCCTGGTGTAGTTGGTCAGCATCCCCAGTCAGCATGCCTATTCTTCTGGGAGAGAGAGATGTAAGGAGAAAGAGGATGGAGGGACGGTTTCCTTAATACACTGTATGTACTTGCTTCCTTGGTGGGACTGTAATGTGTTGTGAAATTCGGAAATTTAATAATCTCTGCATTAGAAATCATAACATTTACTTCATCTTCATTTTAAAGGTAATTTTTATCAATGTCTGAATGATACATTTAGGGAGTTATATGTAACTAAAAGTTGTTGACTAGTTTAGCCTCTTTGTTATTGTCTGTTACTACAAGAACAGACACTTTATTTATTATTTTAAAGATGTGGGGTACAATTCAGGGTTAGGTATACAAACATTGATTATGCTGGTACGCTTGTGGATGAGGTGTGCCCCTCCCCTAGCAGCTTCATTCAACTGCCAATCCCATCTCCCCTCCCCTGGCAGTTTCCCACTTCTGCCAATCCCTTCCTTATAGCATTATGATAATTGTTCAAGGTTAACTTATGAGTGTTCTTTGTGTCTGTGATAGATCACTAGTATGATAGACTCAAAATCCATCCAAGTTGCTGTGAAGTCCATATGTTTGTCCTTCTTTATAGCTGCATAATATTCCATTGTGTATATGTACCACATTTTTTTTTTTTTTTATCCAGGACAGCTTCGGTGGGCAGTATGGTTGGTTCCGTGTTTTTGCTATTGTGAATAGAGCTACAACAAACATACGTGTGCAGGTATCTTTTGTAGAATGATATGAGTTCCTCTGGGTATATTCCCAATAGGGGAATTGCTGGGTCATATGGAAGGTCAATTTCTAGTTCTTTCAGAAATCGCCACACTGTCTTCCAAAGAGATTGCGCTAGTTTGTATTCCCACCAGCAGTGTAGAAGCATTCCTTTTTCTCCGCATCCTTGCCAGCATCTGTTGTTGTTTGTTTTATTAATGATGGGGATAGGTGGTATCTCAGTGTGGTTTTGATTTGCATTTCTCTGATGATGAGTGAGACTGAGCACTTTTTCATGTGTCTGTTGTCTGCCAGTATATCTTCTTTTGAAAAGTATCTATTCATGTCTTTTGCCCACTTTTTTTTTTTTTTTTGAGTTGGAGTCTCACTCCGTCACCCAGACTGGA